TCTGAGCTCCTTTCAGCTGCTCCATGATTTTCCACAGTCTCTCAATCTCCTTCTTGCATGGTCTCCGCTATATCAACCTAGAACTTATGCCCAAGTCGTCATTTTCCATTTGAGTTATACTTGGGCGATCTATTTGCATGCGATGCTATTAGACGGTCTTCTCAACATGTGCCCAGTCCTTATTCATTTTCTTCTCCATGTTTGTTGAGCAACTGACTCTTGCTTGTTGGTTTGTTGTTAGTCAAAGATTCTTGCCCGCCTGCCGGACATTTGATCTTCTGTATGGAGCCAGCCAGCGAAGCAGGCTGTAACTTGTTGGAAATTCTTTTCGTGACTGGCACTTGCAGTGAACGTTTCTGATCCGTATAGAACAACTGATTGACTGACTGACTTACTTCACATTTGTGTCGAACAAAATCCGAATGTTGTTCTTTATGCTGACTGAGTGAAAAACTCGCTTCAAGTTGATAGAGGCTTATCTTGCCTTTCCGATTCTGTCTGTCAGTCTGGCTTGGACATCTTCATCCGTTCAGCTGGCCTGCATTTGAAACCCCTGGCCTCCTAGATAACTAAAGGAAGTGACCTCTTTCAAATTTCTCTCGTTACGATTATTCTTGTCAATAAGAATTACCATTTTTAGATAAAGAAGGAAGGGTGAAAATGAGAGGATTAACAGACATTTAAATAACAATGTAAAAAGGTAATTACAACGGGAGAGGAAGATCGTCACTGAGCCAAAGAGAGGGGCTTTTAGAGGCTGACGGTATTGACGTTCACGGATAGTTCGAAGAATACTAACGCAATATCTAATACCCACAAATTATATATCATTCGTTCCGCTTAGACCGAAGGCAAAGCAAAAGACACTATTTGATCGTCCGAATTACGAGATTTATTTTGGGACCAAATCGCAGTGCGAGAGGATTGCTTAGCTGGCTAGGGATCGTGGCGTGGATGCTTCATTGGAAGCCTTTAGCTAAACAAGTTGACTTAAACAGTGAGGGTCAGCACCCGATGTTCAGTGATGAGTGCTGTGGTCAATAATTTTGTGGAATTATTTCCCGCTACAGGAGGCATAAATTTCTTTTGAACACACACAAATTTGCCTTGTCCAGATGAATGCTGATTGTGTTTGCCGTATGTATATAGGTAGTACTTGTCTCTACAAGTATGCGAAAGTGTTATGTACTCGTCGCTAAATTATTGTTATGGACTGGTCGAGAAACTAATAGTCCTGACGCGAGAAGGCGGAAATCAGAAGACCACTAGGTTTGCGATGATACTTCTATTGTCCAAACACAAGGAGACGAAAATAAATGGTCTCACACCAAAGTGGTAAGTAAGTAAAGTAGTTGTAAAGTAGTTCACACAAATTGTGAATGCGAATATATATAAATAATTCAGACAAGCGTGGGAAAAATCATTAGACAGTCTTAACATGAATGGCTAATTATAATGGAGTGTCGATCCAATTATACATAGCGAATATAGCAGACATGCCAACAAACATATATGGATATATGTCACCAAGCAACGGACTGTCAACAAACACTCATATTATATATAATATAATATAAGGAGAATACACATTATTAAAGGAGACAAGTCCATACAAGTGAAGTGGTCACAGACTAACCGAGCAAACAGAAAGAGAGACCAACATGCACACACACATAAATATATATATGTGGATACATATCACCTCCCCTTTTGAGAAGATGGATGATTAGTAGGATGTTTACCTGGGGGTTTATCTGGGACCTTTGGGCTTGTTGTTGACGCCTGTCGTTTCGTCTGATTGTTGGGTTTGCGGCTTCGGCTCCGTCCGGAATTGTCTAGCATTTTATGCTTCTTCACTGTATTGCGTAGAGAATTTAGTGGGACATCAGCCAGATGCAAACGATCGAACCAATCAAGTCCCAAAACATTTAAATCATTCTTCGTGACGTAACAAATTCCTGTGAATTTGGTATTGCGGAAGGAAACAGAACATTTGAGTTCACCAATTAGTTTGAGCCGCCCACCACAGGCGCTGAGAAGAGACTGGGAAGTATTGGTGATAGGTGGTCTGCCAATATAATTCCAAAGTTTCTCTGATATAACAGTAATATCAGAGGCAGTATCTAGCTGCAGACGAGTATCATGACCATTCATCTGAAGGTCAATATATTTCCGCATAGCTGGTGTTGTGACTTGACAGGTTGCACGTAGACTCAATGACTTTTTGGGATTTAGGACCAACATTTTGTTGAGCTTTTGCTGGATTTTGATATCTGGGTTGCGTGGCTGACAAAAACCATTTTTATGACCGATGATTTTGCACTTGCTGCAACGATGATTTTTGTATGGGCAAGACTTTACAAAGTGCCACGCGCCACAATGCCAGCATGGTGATGGTGGGGTCTTCTTTGCAGTATTTTGTGAAGTTGGACGAGTATGTATAGATTTCCGCGGACATTAGAAGAAGTAGGTGGGTCAGGAGTAGATGATGAGAGATTTTTGCTCTTTCGTAATGCACGAATATCAGAGCTTCTCGGAGGTGTTGATTCGACCAGGTGTGTGTCTTTCTGCAGATTAATCAGCCGTTGATATTCATCAGCTATGTCATGTAATGTTAACTTGGGATTTTGTTCTAGCTGATTGAGCAGTCGAGTTCGGATATCTGTGAAACGAGGAGATTGGAGACTGCATATGAGAATCAAGGCTTTGAACTGATCATCTGTTAAGGACCTGAGTCGAAATCTCTCACATTCTCGGTTGACTGTGCCAACGTGAGTAAGAAAATCATCATTTTCATTCATTGCCAGCTTGAGGCAACGATAACGTATACTGAATAATGAGGAGTGGTCTCCGAAATGTTCACGCAGCAACTTTATTGTATCATCGAAACAATTGTCACGTGGTTTCTGTGGTAAAATTAGGTTGCAGTACCGTTCATATTCTGCCGGACCCAATTTACGTAGCAAAACTCGCACCTTCCAGGCATCGTCTTGTGAGGCGAGATCAACAGTGAATAAATCCTCATAACGTTGATACCATGTGTCAAAAGTGACATTAGCCTCTGGGTCATAATTGAACTGTGAAATGCTGTTCACAATTCCGTCGACAGATGGTAGCATGGTATGATTGGGATTGCTTGAAGGTGGAGCTGGACCAGTCTGTTGGTTGACGAACATTTCCATTAATTTCATTTGTCGTTCAAACAATAATTCCAATTTAATAGGATCCATAGTAAATTGTTATGTTGTTGCTGCTGTGTGGTTAATAGTAGTTTTTCCCCGTCGCCAAATTGTTATGTACTCGTCGCTAAATTATTGTTATGGACTGGTCGAGAAACTAATAGTCCTGACGCGAGAAGGCGGAAATCAGAAGACCACTAGGTTTGCGATGATACTTCTATTGTCCAAACACAAGGAGACGAAAATAAATGGTCTCACACCAAAGTGGTAAGTAAGTAAAGTAGTTGTAAAGTAGTTCACACAAATTGTGAATGCGAATATATATAAATAATTCAGACAAGCGTGGGAAAATCATTAGACAGTCTTAACATGAATGGCTAATTATAATGGAGTGTCGATCCAATTATACATAGCGAATATAGCAGACATGCCAACAAACATATATGGATATATGTCACCAAGCAACGGACTGTCAACAAACACTCATATTATATATAATATAATATAAGGAGAATACACATTATTAAAGGAGACAAGTTCCTACAAGTGAAGTGGTCACAGACTAACCGAGCAAACAGAAAGAGAGACCAACATGCACACACACATAAATATATATATGTGGATACATATCAGAAAGGTTGAGTGAAATGCAATAAATAACTTTAAAAGCTTTGTTAGAGTTAACACGATTTCCAGTATCGACAGTGAGATGAGCTAGCGCTGAAATGTGTATAGCTTTTTTTTAATAATAATTTGCTTTATTCCCAAACAGTACTTGTGATACACAATGGAATTCTCAGTATTTTACTACATACAGTATTGCATCCAGTTAGTACATTAACAACAAATAAAATTCTACATGGATTAAGGGTAGTCTCAGTTCATTATGACAGCAACATATAGGTATGTCGGTAGCAAAGCCAAAAATTAAACAGAGTGTTTGAAGGTGTTAGAAAAGTAGATACTAGCATATTTACTGGCGTAGGCAGAAGAAAGAAACAAAGGAGAAAATAACAACAAAAAAGAGAGAAAAAAGAAGAAAGAAAACGTTGTAGCTATAAATGATATGAGTTAGAAAGACGAGATCCAGTTGTTCTACTGACCATGTAATAAGTTCTAGGTATCACGCCTAATGCTTTCTTTATCGCACAGAACACTAGCTAGCTGAGTATGGTATGGTTGAGTTGAGTTTTTGTACTCGCTACTGCGAGCACATAGTTTTCTATATAGGCTCCTGGTTGTACCTGATGAGAAACGAGGGGAGAGTTGTGAATGAAGAGGGTGGTGCGAGTTAGATAAAATAGATTTAGCCCATTTTTCACATGAGTCCATGTGCCAGTCAACCAGAATATTATTCGGAACTTTGCCAAACCAAGACTGCGAAGTGTTCAGAAATTCGACAATCAGCTTGCCTGACCTTACATTCAATGTAATTAGCAGTTAAACTGGTCTTGTTGATCATTTTAATTGCTTATTTTTACACACACACACACCTGCCTATACCTAAAATTGATAATTTTTATTGATTAAAACAACCAAATGACTCGTATGATTTTGATGCGAAAATAAACTATATTTTACTGTAAAGCCGATGATGTGGAACTAATAGGAAAAGACTATCATTTCTATTTTCCTATTTACTTTGTTATTTTGAGAAAGCAAACTTCTGTGAATGCAGTTCTCTTTACAACTTTAAGTTATGCAATCCACCTGTAACACAAACTTTCTGCATAATATCTTTCGTTGAATAATAATAAGTATTTAACACAATCAATAAAGGTTCATAAAGCAGGATTTAATGAATTTGTCAAATTTCGGTAGACTTCGTCAGCTGAATACTCTATATACACGGATCGCCAATCCTGGACACTCCCAATTGCGTATATCAGTTTGAGTGTGTTTGTAAAAGCAAATGCATAGGTCGTACAGAAAGGCAACTGTCTGTCTACTCGTATGATAGAGCATTTACCAAAATGGTTGAAAACAGCTGAATGCAAAGTGCCAAAATCCTCAATAACAAAACATCTTATGGAATACTGACACGATATCGACGCTATCAAGTCATTCACTATTGTCATCAGACAAAGAAACAGGAAGATGCTTGCAATTACGGAGGAGGCTTGGGCAATTCGAGTTTATAAACAAGGTCTCAATGTGCAAAAGGAGATGGTCGTCAGTCTGAATCTACCATGGTAACACGTTTTACTTATTATTCCACCTCTTATTATTACTATTATTATTATTATTCGTGATTCATTTAAAACTATCCTTCAGCAGTAGGATTATCTTGAATCACTTCATCACTATTATTACTGCTATTACTATTATAACTATTACTATTGATATCACTCTGTTTACAATTTTTGATATATTATCTAATGACTAATTGTTTATCTAAGTGATGTAACTGAAGCGTAATGCATTTGATCTTAATTTTAGTCTCTCATACTCCCTCTCCCCTTATCTATTTGAACATGACCTGGAAAACATTCGAACCTGTCTTTCTGCATGACTAATTAAATGTAGTTTGTTTACTTATCAGTCTTATGTCTCCGAATGTAATTTCAAAAGTATGTATATCCGTATATGTGGAGCATTCAGTTGACGAGTTCTACCGAAATTTGATAAATTCATTAAATCTTGTTTTATTAACCTTTAATTCCTGTTTTAAATTCGTATCGGAAAATAAATGTTTTCGATAATAAGTATGAGGAATGAGTTCAGCTCGAACTCATTTTAGTCTCACTTTCTGCAATAAACACAACTACAATAATGATAAGTAGTGCTTTCAGTTAACAAAAATACCTTGTAAGTGAGTTGTAGTCAGCTTGTAAAATAATATGCGTGATTTTTTTAACTCATGGGAAATTCTCATTGTAACATACAAAAATTCAAAACAAGGGATTCAGAGAAGAGACTATTTTCAACGAATTTATTATCAAGCTGTACAGTCGTATATATATATTGAATTGAATCATACTTGTGAATGCATAAAATAATAATAATAGTAGTAGTATGAAATGCAATTAAGACTAAAATGTTTGTGATTATAATCAAGTGGCAAAACAATTAATGCCATATGTGTGCGTCGGTGGCACAGTGATTAGGACTGTCGCCGACCATCCACATGGTCCGAGGTTCGATCCCCTGCCGACGCACACCTGATATCTATGGTCGGCCTGCAAAATTTGGGCTACCAATATCCATGCTGAAAATTCCATACTTGTACCAAAAATACAGTGTGGAATCAAGCTGTAAATCAAAAATTAAAAAAAATTAAAAATTAAATTCATAGGATGGATAGAACTTAAAAAAGGGTGTACAATTATATGATTAGTAGACAAATCGAATAAAATGAAAACGTTACATAATGTCGTGTGAAATTTCATAGCATAGAACTTAACATTGTAAAAAGAATTGATTTAGAATGACAAGTGGAACAAGTGTAATAATATCGATTAATTTCCCTGAAGAAGTTCAGATCAGATTGCCAAACACGGGAAACCTTGGAATTACTCATTTCAGTATCGCTGAGATTTTACAAATTTCGGGGACAGTTTAAAGTGAGAGTAATAATAACAACAATTGACGTAATAAAGGAAGATTGCACAAACTGAACAGACAAAGCGAAAAAATGAAAAATTGGTAGAGCCAAAATATGATTGGGGATTACCATATTTTAGCATAGAGGGATTAAGACAATGAAAGTTGGAAGCGATAAAGAAACTTTTTCTGTACACAGAGATCTGGCTTTTCTGTTTCGATAGCCAAAGATGGCTTCAGCAATACAGATGAGTCGGGTACATAGGGATTTGGGTAAATTACTCTTTGCCTTGTAGATGACTTCAAAGGCGGAGACTATAGAGATAGGAAGATCATTATTAACCAGATGTTCAATGATTGCCCTTCTTATTGCTCCACTTCCACCTCTTCGTAACAATCATGCAGGATATTGTTCTTGCAACCTCTTGGACAAAACTCGAGTCGAACGACCAATATACCTAGCCCCACACGAGCAGGTTAATTGATAAACACACATAGAGTTGTTCAACAGCGGGATTTTGTCCTTCATGTTACTGAACAGTAATGGTTTACTAGTAAAGGCTATTCTCAGAGATGTATCAGGGAATGCTCTTTTCAGGGACTGTGATATCCTTCGTTTCATGATTATAATCACAAATATTTTAGTTTTAATTGCCTTTCATACAATTTTTATTATTATTTTATGCATTCACACATATGATTCAATTCTCTCACCGGATATAAATTCTTATAATGAAAACCATATATATACGATTGTACAGCTTGATGATAAATTCGTTGTTTGAGAGAGTCTCTTCACTGAATCATCACTTGTTTTGATTTTTCTTACCCGAAAGAGTCACTGGATGGTAACCGGTATTAGTCTCCCTCTGCCCCTCAACTAAGTCTGTGAATCAAGTTGTGGAGTTAAATATTCCATGTCAGTACTCACTGACATGTATTATTGAAGCACAATGTTCACAACTAATGTAGCATATGAAGTTATATTTGATAGAAATGAAATATTATTGAGTTTTCTACTTTTCATATTCGTATATATGTGGACATACATAATAGGTGTGATCTGTGTATACAAGCCAGCAGTAGTTTGTAATCGATTAAGCAGTACAGGTTTCATCATTAGTTTACATTATTTAGAGTACCACTGGAAACCGATAGGGAGTACTGAAGAGATGAGGGCAGTCAGTACCCATTCATTGGGTGTCGAAAGCAGGACCATCAGGTTACAAAGCGAGCCTTTAGAACATTCAGCCACTGGAACCCAATTGAACCGTTCATCAGTTCCAACTTCTGCCACTTCACAACCACCGGTCAGTATCACAGGTAAGTAACTGAATTGTTGGATCCTACTGGTTACTAGCTTGCTTTGTGATCGGAACTTCATGGATTCAAAGCTTGGTGGATGCGTACCATTGAAGAGTCCAATACTTGGACGAAACATGTGCTCAGCACTCCCTGATGGTTCTCTAACTGATGTCAATTCGTAATCACACCTGTAATCGATCATATCGCCTGCAACACCAAACACTGCATAATTAGGTATTATTCGATCTACCGGTCTTGACAGATGTTACTGCATTTAACTGGTGAATGGTGACTAGCAGTGGAATCCAAGATAACGTGCATTTCGTCCCATTTTGGACTCGTCATCTGTGACCATAGTTTTAAACGCCAGCCAAAGTGTCATCCACTAGACCACTTGGGCCACGAGAGCCACTTCTTGTCCAACGGGTCACGAAGCCTACATGTCAACCTGAGACCGAACACTTCGGTCCAATCAGTTGAGGGGAAAATCTAAAAATCAATTAAAGATGTTATCCCCATAACATGGCCTTTAAATATAAGACTACTTTTTACGATGTATCACAGTATTCAAAATATGTTTTACTGTGTAAGTGTTTGAATCTTTTCTTTTTCAGCTCTAATGTGTCAGCTAGCAACACTGAAAGACCCAGTAGTGCTTTCAGTGAAAAACCAACAAGCCAAATGCCCAGTAGTGGACCAAATCGTCCAGATGTTCCACCGCGACAAACTTCACTACGTACTGGTCCCAGCACTGAGGATACAGATGATACAATGAAAAATCTACGTAAAACATTTGCGGGGATTTTTGGTGATTTATAAGAGTATTTATGAAGTTAACATGTCGTCTTATTATAATATATATATATATATATATATATATATATATATATATATATATATATATATCCACCTATACATTTCTCGTCTTGTTATTATTATTATTACTAAAATAGCTGTCGTAACATTGGATTATCTAACCGTTACACCTAATGTCTTTTTAATGTCAATTTGATCTTTCTCTCTCTCACTATCCTTCTGTCTCCTTTCTTTCTCTCTTTCACTCTCAAATAATGATATTTATTTCTTGAAAGTCGTTGTTATCGTTTTTTCAAACACCAGAAACTTATTAGAACTAAATTGAAAATGACAGTTTAGAAATTTGATACAAGACAACTTATTTGCTCCAATAAGTTAACATACATATATATTATACTTTAAGTGATACCACTATTACTATTATTATTAACCGAAAATCGATTTTTTTTTCTCTATCCCTTTTATGTTCAGCTTTGAGCTGAATACTACTAATACGCTCGACAAGCATTTACATTAGCAATAGGACTTATATAATCACATATAAAAAAAACACTGACTACGCGCATATGCACACATTGCATTATTTATCCTTCCTCTGTGGCAATTTATTTACCACCATTCTTACTACTTACCGACTTCTACTTATCCACACACACACACACACACACACAGACATACACACAAACAAACAAACAAATAGCTACACAACACATGTGAATTATGTCTTTTTCCTTATTTGCATGTCAAAACTGTCCCTATTATCGTTATTATTATTATTATTATTACTATTATTGATTTTCTCAAACTATTTATCTAAATCTCACAGTCTGTCAGTCAGTCTGAGTGTGTGGATGTGTGGGCGTGCGTGATGTTTTCTCATTGGATGGTGATAATGATGATGATGACGATATTGACTTTATTGTTCATGTACCCCTTCCACCAACTAACTTTATTTATACTGCTTTGAGAAAAAATTTTAAAGAAAAAAGAAAATTTTATTCCTTCAGGAATGTGATACGATTGAATTTTGTTTTGTTTTGTTATTTAAAATTAAGGCGGTAAAAAAAAGAAAAGAGAAGATCTCACTTTCAATTGGGAGGTTGTCAGGACTATCACAACAATATGACGATGATGATGATGATGCGAGCACCAATAAAATTTCTTAGTTGTGACTAACCAATCACATTGTCAAGAAAAAAATAAACTAACTGATCAATACAATAATAATAATAATAATACTAATGATAAATTTTTATTCTTGATTCATAGAAGGGAAGCTTATATATAAAAGAGAAAATGAAAATCATTCAAAGCAGGAATCACTACATTATTGATTGAATGTTTGACCACGAATTGATATCAGTTAGAGAAGCATTGAAAACCAACTAGGGAGTACTGGACAGCTGTTACATCTAATTGGTTTGGGAATCCTTGGCAGTATGCATCCAACCCGCCAGGGTTCGAACCCAGGACCTTCCGGTTACAAGGCAGGCTGGCTCGTATAGCATTTGGTTTATTTTTAAGACGTTAAAATTTAGCATCATTTGAGGAATAATAAGAAGAAGAAGAAGAGCTTTATTCTCAACAGAGTTTTTATACAATGTACAGAATGTTCATCAGCAATGAGTGCATAATAGTTTCTCTTTGTCCAGGATTTTCAGGCCCAGTAGTAACAAACAATAAATCAGCCAACACATTGGTGTCTGACGCGAAGTGCCATCTAATCCATTATGATATTACTTCTTATCCACCTGCCTCGAGAAATAGACAACGTTTGGTTGAAAGCCAGTTAAAAGAGGTGTAGGAGTGCACTTTTTGACCCAAGAATATAATAATAATAATACCTGACATAACTGAAGACTAGCTGTTTCGTTTTATTTCTCAGGTGGTGGTAGTTTGTACAGTCATGATTTTGATTCATCTCTCTGGATGCTTCTTCTGCAAACTTGTTGCTTTTCACTATATGTATATATATATATATATATATATATATATATAAATATTCCACTTTGCGACAAACCCATCGGGTTTAGAGCCCAGGACCCTCTGATCACAGGGCTAACCAGCCACTGGGATCTGACTCAATGACCCATGAATTCTAACTCCTATTAATTCGTGACTTTTACCGTAACCACCAGCCTTTATTATTGGGGAGTATTTTTCCTTACTGGCGGCGTGCTAAACTTGTGGTGAGAGCTGGCTGTTAGCCGAAATCGGTGGACAGTAATTTACGTCAATCTTTATTTCCCCAATATTGGTCATGAGAAAAATGACAACAGAGGCTTTGCGTAGGCGGATACAGTTAACATATAGATGACGTGACATTCAAGAAACAGCCACAAAGAGATGAAAGATTAACTATCATTAAGAAACAGAGGACTGTGTTTGTTTGCTTAAATAATCTATAATAATGTACATGAAAATCTAAAAATATGTGTTGATTTCCTAAATAAACGATCTGTTGCCTGGCCCTTCTCTTCTGTTTTTACAATAGTAGGTGTAGCCTTCC